CTATATCTGAGCTTCATTCTCTTCTTGTCCTTCCTTCCCCCTTTCCCAGCACTAGAGCCTTCAGCAGAGAACGAGGTCTTCACATAAAGCATCATATAAAAATATTTACCGTGCTCAGCGCATTTCTCACTTTATTCCCCATGCATTTTTTTTCCCCAGGCACCCTGCAATGTTCTAAAAATGCAGTTGAAAATTAAATTAAAAAGAACTGCACCTTAAAAGAGCAACTAAAACACACACACAGTATACAGGCAATAAATCAGCAGGAAAATGTCCTGTAAAAAGCTCCATTGCAGCATATGTGATAATTGCCCTTAAATGCTGCAAAGTGCGCTGAGTGATGCATCAGAAGAAGCATTTGTAAAAATTACAATAAACAGTAACGGGGTGGCTTTATGGCCCTTCCCAGTGGGCTTTCGCCGCTTTCATTTTGTCTCTCTTTTCAGAGTGCTAGTAACAGGAGACGTATGTTCCTGTCACCTTTTCCCCAAAGGAGCTGATATAAAGATCTGGGAATTTAAGAAGCGGACTCTTCGGAGATACAGTAAGCTGTGCTACAGAATGAACTGGGTTAGCTAGTTCATTAGATGTCTTGTGTGAGCTACTGAACCATTCCTGGCTGAGGGATACTTTTCCAAATACTGAGCATTTTTTTAAAAAAATAAATGGAATGCAACTTCATCTAGAATCACACAATCATTTGGCTCCAGGCTGGGGTCCTCACCACATCTCAGGGCAGCCAGTGCCAGAAGATAATTTTTAGATATGATGGGAAATTGTAATTTAGTAATCCCTTGTATCTGCTATTAATTTACAGAATTAGATAACCGAGAGACAAAAAAAACCCCTTTCCTGTTCATGTACTGTACAGAATTAGTGAACCACACACACACACACACACAAATATGTGCATACATGTATCCTCAATTGTGGTCATAAGTCAAGGTCTATCTGTAATTATATATTAACAGCCTAGGCCAGGGGTCTTCAAACTTGGCCCTTTTTTTGACTTGTGGACTTCAATTCCCAGAATTCCTCAGCCAGGCACGTGTGTGTCAGGCACGTGTGCCTGTCTGAGGAATTCTGGGAGTTGAAGTCCACAAGTCATACAGTAAAAGGGCCAACATTGAAGACCCATGGCCTAGGACAACTAAATAAACTAAATGTGAGGGGAAAAGATCCAATCTCACGCCATGCAATATTTTATAAATCACTGTTCCCTCAGTTGCTTTCTTCTCTTTTCAAAAATGCCCCACAAATTTTAGTCTCTCTGCACTTGTTTTGTCCTTCTACATCTCTTCTTTTCACCTTCACTGTTCAGAACTATATGATGGCGACAGTTTTATTTCCAGCATATTTTTTTAAAAATCATCCACATAAAATTTGCCTTTTTCACAGTTGTCTGGAAGTGGGCTAATGTTTTTATGTCCCAAGATCTTGCTAGCTAAAAACTACAAGTTTCATACCCAGATTAATAAAGTTGTTTTACCACTGTTGCTAGGCCCAAAGGCTGTGTCCTCACAACACCATTAATATTCAACAATTTTGCTAGTCTGTGTTTCACATTTTTTTAAATAAAACCTGGTGATGTACAGCAGATTAAAACTACCGAGAAAGTAGTTTTACCATTTGCCGTTTTTAAAATTGTTTAATTTTTACCTCAGATAGAGGAGCAAATAAAAGTTGCTTTTGTGTATCATCGAACTAAAGTAGGTTAACTTTATTTAAAGAGGCCTTTATATTTTTATTCCGTACGTTCTTTGGTTTGCTAAATAATTCTGAATAAAATTTTAAACAGGCAACAATTTATATATTTCGTCCCTTTCACCTCTATTGGCCTCTTTCCAAGTCTCTGGCATCTTTCCTCCATGTAAAATAGAATTCATCGTGTTTTGCAGAGGTTATAAAAGTTCATCCTCAAAGCATTTGTAATAAAAAGCTGATAATCCATCTGGTCCAGGCACCTTTGCTAGTTTAATCTTTTTTTTATAGCTTCAGAAACTTCCCTCATGGTGATGGGTCCATTCATAATCTGTCTCTGTTCCTCTGTAATCCTTTGTAAAATTTGTTTCTTTGGATATCCATCAATTCTCTCTAAAGAGATGTCATTGCTTTATACAAATTAGAATAATATTGATAAAATGCTTTTGGTATGGCCAGATTGTCCATTAGTATCTGCCCATTTGTAATTGCAATATCATTTTCTTTTTGTAATTTATGTCAACCATTGACCTGGGTTGTTTGCTAGCTCAAAGGTTTTTTGCTCTGCAAAGTTCATTTTTATTTTCCTTTC